ATATTATTGGTACATTCTCTGTGCGGCAAAATAATGTATAACTTAAACACCAAGGATGATAAGTATACATCCTTATTGGATCCCACGTATTTCTTCGCATAGTCTATATACATAAAATACCATTAAATGTAAAATCAGTGTCCAATTATATCTACGAATACTTGACATTATTCTTATTTTCAAGCAGTTCATATTTTTAACAGCTCTACAATGTATTTTCTGTGATATTAAAAAACACGCTATGCATAAATAATGAAATTTTCTTTGTAAAAAGCTTTTTAAAAATTTGCCTTATCCTATAAATCTAGTATTTCTGATGTGCTTATCACAACGCTTTTCTTTTATATTCTTGCTCTGCATCAGCGTACCAAGAACACTATATTGTTCTGTTGATTTTAAGATGACGTTTGTTTCCCGGCACGTTAGCATAGTTCTTACTCCGCGTCGCCGTCGTCTCTAATTGCTTGACCTAGATTCATTATTTACGGTTGTCAAAACTGAGAAATTATTTCTGTTTGAAGAACAAGTTGTATAATTTGCATAAATTAAAACTGTGAGACGGTGACTAAATATTTTGTTAGAAGACTATTAACAACATTATTAATATAACACGTCACAAGTACTTACGACTACAGTTTACTCCTTCTTTCCACGGGTGACTTTCTTGTGACATAAATCCACGGGTGGGGTCTATCAGGACCAAATTTTAAACAATATTTTTCTCACTAAAAAAATTTTTTTTAATGATTTTAAGAAACTTGTCATGTTTCGTGCTTCAATTCCAACCGTTCAGCAGTGTAGTATTATAAAGCGAATAACAAGTTATCGTCTTAAAATTAGAAATTTACTAAAACCCTTATAAACAACGCAGTGGTGTTGCAAGTTATAAAAAACAGTTAAATGATTTCAGAAAACAATCCAAAGTACTATTTAATGTGGCTACTTGTAAATGTCTAGATTTAAATAATTCGCACATTGAAATCAAAAGTGGCACTATATAAAAAACTCAATTTTACAGTATAGCTGTTTTAAAGTTTTTTAACATGATTTTTATGCCCAGACTTAAAAATAAATTGAAAACAAGCAATGTGATTAGTTTTAAATAATAATTTAATTATCTCTTTTTCAGTATAAAATAACTTTTAAATAAATTAACTAGTGTTTGTTGAAAAAAAAGGTATTTGAAAAAAAAAATTCAGTATAGTGTCACTTTTGTTTTTATACAATCAATTATTTTTTGTTTAATGGCATATTTAATTCATTAACTCTTCTACTATTCTACTACTCCAATTAAGTAAATGAATGTCAGGAATAAAATAAAAACTAATTTTAGATGAATAAAGTATTTATTTGTATGTACTACAAAAGAAAGTCTTACTCGAATCAGTCACGACAATATACGCAATGTTTTAATTAAAATAAAATATTTTAAGACTATCAAAATAAACTAAGAAAATAAACGAATCGTAACAAAAAATGCAAATAGGCATTTGTAAAAATGTGATACTTAATGCTTAAGAGCTATTACATTTTCAAATAAAAATACTTTCATAGTAGGATCGGTAATATCCAGGAATCAAACCCGCATCCACAAGACTCCTCAGTCATTTTTCTTCCTTTCGGATATATCCAATTTTTGGTGGTACAATGGTTTAAGTTCTTGAGGTCGGCTGTTTCTGGATGTTCTTTTTGCCAAATCAAGTTCCTTCAAGTCATCAAAATAAGACATTTTATAGAATATTTTAATCTCATTCATTACGTTCTTTTCAATTTTAATGACTTTTATATCACACAACTTTACAACCGCACCATCAACACTCCTATTCAGCTTAATAACTGGCAGTTGTTTCAAATCCATAAAATCTTCGTATCCCATCTCATTTACAATGTACGGCGTCCCACGTTTTTTCGAACTTCTGATGGCACAGACGTATTGGGAAGGTACGTAAATGGGTCCAGATTTAAGACTTTTTTTTACTTCCTTCTCAATCGTTGAATGTACTGCGTCCCCTTCATTTTGTGTGTGGTCTCGGATTAAGAACTTATGGGTTATTAATTTTACTTTGAGATTTAATACTGCATAGACGTACATTCCAATGATCACCTGTTTCTTCTGTTGGCCACAGCAGTTATCAGAATAGAACACTATATCAAGATCTTTATTAGCGAAAGAAGACTTCTTTTGCAAAAACTTCAAAACACAGCTACCTATTTCATTGGCTCCACGATTGCCTTGAGATTCATCCCAAAAGTAACATTGTCTGTTTTCAACTCCGATGTGGTAAAATTCAAACAATTTATTTTGGACTTATAATAGAATGTTGATACGTCTCCTTTAGGAACCGTCATTACCGCTTGTAAGTCCTAGCATGCAACGATAAAACAATCTGTCACTTTCTCTTTGTCACTAGCTTTTTCTTCGTGACTTTTTTGTTTTTCTGCTAAATGGCGGTCATAATCTTCCTTCGAAGCTTCCTTTCTGGGATCTTCAGCCAGCTTATATATTGTGCATTGTTCACATTGGTCCTTTTTAGGTACGAACAAACTAATATTAAATTCTTTTAATATGTATATTAAATGTCGGATAATACTTTAAATGTCGGTGTTTAATATCCTAATTATCTAATTAAATATACATTTTTAAATAAAACAATGACATTTTACTTAAAATGACGTCTATTTAATATGGCAATAAATTAAAAATATGACATTTAAACCACAAAAATGACACTAAGCACAATATGCCCTTATTTATTCTATATAAACACAGTTATCTGGAATAGTTGAGTAAAATATCGGCACTTTACAAAATATGCCAATACCGAAATCATAATTTGTTGTATTTTTATTATCACGTAATTAAAAAAACGACATTATACAAAATATGTCACTTTTTCACTTACCTCAGCTAAGACTCGTTGCGGCGGCTGGACCTTTATTGGTTTAGTGTCGGTTTATCGGTCACGACCCATGCTCGCGACAACAAAGTAAGAAGTGACATTAGCGACGTCTACAGAAAACCGAGCGAGCTATTACAACGGAGGTCTTTGCAACAGACGTAGTTTTGCTCGTAGATTTTAGATGTCGCTGTAACTAAAAACCACCGAATTTTGTATAATGCCACTTTTGATTTCATTGTGCGAATTGTTCTTGCGATAAAGTATTTAAAATTTCAGCAGGCGAACAACCATTTTTAGAAGACCAAAGAACTTTAAAGAGAAAATGGTTATTGGTGCCATAGATATAAACAATATCCAAAAAGTTACAGAACCCGAGATGAGAGAAATTTATTGCAAATTCAAAAACAACTAAATGAGAATGTTATTCACTTACCGAAAAAAATCGATCTCGGCAGAAAAGAATAGCGACGGGAAACACTTGACACATAAATCGATCAGTTCTGCATGAAACTTCTACTGTATAGCAAACATCATTAGCTTCCTATAATGTGTTACAATTACCTGTGCTTGCAAGAACACTCGATCGTTTTGATATTTCTGATCGAGCTGGTGCTGCAGTCGCTTCAGCAGTACTACAAGGCGTCAGTATTATAAATATGGAAGATAGTCATGATACAAATACAAACAGATAAGATACCGCGCATGTGGGCGTGGCTTATGCATGACTTTTGTGACGTCAACTTGTGCTAAATTTCGCCATATTGTGTTTTGACGTTTATGTACATTTACGGTTCATAGCCAATATTTAATAAAATAATATTTTAAAAGTGTTACAAGGCTTTAAATTTTTCCCGATATGAGGTGTGCAGTGTATGGTTGTGCCGTTGACAATATGTGCAAGAGTTTTGTACCCGGTACAGCATTTTATAGCTTTCCAAAAGACAAGGAAATGCAAGCTGTTTGGAAACATTTGTGTAAACGCCAGGATAATTTTAATGTTAAATTTGCTCGTGTTTGCTCTAAGCACTTTGTTGAAAGTGATTGAAGTGATGAATCGGTCATTCAGGTTGGCAAAATATAAAACAGAAGTCAACTACTTTATAAGTTTATAGAAGACGTTTCGCTTTATACTTCTAAAGCTTCATCAGTTCTAACTCAATATGTAGTATTAAAGATGTTATTATATATGTACTTAAGTTTACTCATTATTTAGAACTAACTTAAAAAAAAAACAGAAACAAAGGACACAAAAACTTTGCAAAAAATAATATTCGCAGAAACGAAGATTTAACAAAATTTTAAACGTACATTTGGCTTCATTTAGAGATGGTTCTCCAATGAAGACAAACAAAACACTGGTGAGTTCTGAGTGATCTTCTTCAGTTATGATATATATACTATTTACTATATATATATATATTATATATATATATATTATATATATATATATATATATATATATATATGTAGGTAGGAGATTAAATAATTATAACCATATTTTAGCATATCCTGAAGAAGCTAATAAATTTTTGTGAAAGCTAAATAAAAGAACAAAGAGTTTTACTTATTCTGCCCTATTAATGACTGCAACCTCAAAAGAAATAGTTTACCTAACGTGTCAGTCAATAATACCTAACTACTATATATAAAATATATATTGTATGAAAATCACATTCCATAGTTTGCAATTTGTGGCATTCGGCCATGGCTCCCTCCATCAAACTTCACTCTTATGGGAAAATTGTTATTTTTTACAATATACTAATTTAAATACTTAAGCTTAAATTCACGTAGTAAATAAAACATCTAGTAAATTATATTAGAATTTCAACAGTTCGTTTCATCCGCAAGCATGAATACATTTTGAAAATTTAGCACAAGGTGACGTCATGCGCGTGAGTGTACGAGTTTAGTGGGTGGCAATATCATATCTGGTATCCTTATATCATGGAAGATAATAGCCACATTATAGACAAGAACAAAATTCGTCGTGCTAGAACAAAAAAAAACGTGCCCTTTTTGAAATGGACGATTCTTCACAGTTACGTGCTTTTTTTTTGATGGTTGCAAGGATAAAACGTTAAAAAATGAAAGATAATTCTTCTTTAATTCCATCTTCTATCGAAGGTTGGAAATCTATCATGGCTATGCGGACTCTGTTAACTGCCGCTCTAAAAAGTTCTGCACTACTGCATTCAAACCATTCCCATAAGTTCTTATCCCGGCGACTGTGTGGTGAAATTTTCTAACAGGAGCTGTGTGTTGGGGTAATTATCACCCCATTTTTTTTTTATTTATAAAATTGAGAAAATATTTTATTTTTACATGCAACCTTAAGATTTTAAATCATGGTTATATTGTTATATAATCTTTTTCAAAGTTAAATCATTTTAAAAATTTTCGTTAATAATTCAACGATTCAAAAAATATACTAAAATTTAGTTGATATTTAAACCACTACCACAATTTTTGTTAATAAAATTTTTATTAGAGATATAGAATAAAAAAAAACTACAAATTCTATAAAAAGTAACTATGATCTTTTGTTTAAAAAGCATAATTAACAATTATTTGCACATTTAGAACAAAAATATACACAATGTTCAAGACAAAGAAAAATGTCACATTTTACACATTTCTTTTGGCACTTTCTGTCCTTTCCACGGGGACACACTCCACATCTGGATGTTGTTCGTTGTTTCTTGTTTGAAGGTCCTTGAGAGTCCTCTCCGCTGTCATTTCTTTTTAGTTTCGCTCTTATGTCTGATGGTATTCTTTGATTATTACCTCTTTTTTCAATATATGGTTTAATTAGTGCCAAACCAAGTTGTTTTAAAAAAAATCTGCGTTTTAGTTTTTCATTTGGCTTGTTATGTTGATAAATAACATAACTATTTATTCCTGCATTATTAAGCAGCGAAAAAAAAATTGTTAGTGGCCATCGCTTGCTATTACGAGACACATTATATAACGCAGACATTTCGTCAACCATATCCACTCCACCTTTTGTGTGATTATAAAAGTCTATAATCTCAGGTTTATTTAATTTGTGGTCAAATTCTGTATCATGATGAAGTGAAGAAGCTACTAACACTATTTTATTTTTCTTCGGGACAAAGGACACCAAAGAAATGTCTTTTTTAAATCCGAAAATTGCGTGGTTTTCAGCTCTGTTTTTGGAATTCAAAAAGATTGTCGGTATTTCCCTCTTGTTTTTACGAATAGTTCCAACAGATGTTAACCGATGTTCACTAAGCAAATGTTCCATTAGCGGTATGCTGGTAAACCAGTTGTCGAATGTAATGTTGCGATTAGTACCACGAATTGGATTTACAAGCCTGTTTACTACATCAAACGGTCTATTACTAAATTGAAAAGGTCCCTCAGGCTGTGAGCCAACATATACCTCTAAATTTAAAATGTAGAATGTTTTGGCATCCACTAAGGCAAATATTTTAATGCCATATTTGGACGGCTTATTGGGGATATATTGCCGAAAGGAACAACGTCCCCGAAAAGATTCTAATTTTTCGTCGATCGTCAAGTATTGACTAGGAATAAAATATTGTTGACAATTGGATACAAATCGATCAAAAACAGCTCGTATAGCTGCCAGTTTATCTACTCTTTTTCGTTCGTCTCTATTTTCGATATTATCGAATCGTAGGCACTTTAAAAGTAATATAAATCTTTGCAGGGACATTGTTAGCCTGAAAATGTCAATTCCTGTTCCATCTGTAGCCCAAAGATCCTCCAGATTTAACCTATTGGCTTTATAAACGCCTGATAGATATAGTAATCCGAAAACTGCACGAATTTCTTCTGCGTCCGTAGGCTTGGTGATATATTTATGTTGGTCATTATAATTCTGAGCGACTAAACTGATTTTTTTATTAGTGCATTGGACAATATCTTCTACAATAATATTATCCATGAATAATTCCCAGCAAGAAATGGGTGATTTGCAATGTTTTGCATTATTTCGAACACCGGGAAGTAAAGTAATTAAATTTTCTTGTCGTGTTCTAACCGATTTATTAGGACAGTTCTTTGACCATTTTGTTTTCCCATCCCGTCCGATAAAAAACTTAGATTGTCTTACTTTATCATCTTCAAACTTATTGTTGTCTTGAGAAGATTCTTCCGACGATGATTGACTTTCCTGATTAGAAGTTCCAGGCTGACAATTTTCCACTGATTGAAGTTGGTTTTGTAAAACATCCTCACTGGAACTAAGGCTAACCTGCTGACTTTCATTTTCAGATTCGCTTTCTGATCCTAACTCTGATCCAGTTAATTCATCCTGCCAAAGCTTCAAGAGAGCTTCTTGTTCTTTCTCCCAACTACACATATTTCGATATGTCTGAAATTAAGAATATCTAATCAATTTTCAATATTCCTAACAATTAAATTATGTTTCTGTTAAAAAAATCGAGATAAGTTGTGCTAGTATAAGAACTTACCTGTTAATAATTAACCGGTGTTGTGGGGTTAAAATTACCCAAAAACTAAATAATACTGCACTTCAACTGTGTGGTGGGGTTAAAATCACCCACAAGTCCAAAGAAGGCGACACCACTCATTCAAATCTTATTTATAT